GCAGGAATTCATCAATTCAGAATTTCTCATTAAATTTCCTATGGCCCATTTGACGATTCACCACCCTGTATATAGGTTCCTATCAGAAAGAAAAAAAAATACGCTACAGCTAACCCAGACACAAACGAACACTTAACGAGAGGGAAAAAGCCTATTGAAATTGATGAATTTGCCAAAAATGGTATTCGAAGGAAAATTCATGGATTTTTTTTTCAAAAAAGAAGTACCAAACCTCAACAAAATTTTACAAGAAGTTAGAGACGACCCAAGTTTTCCTCATATCGGACGAACTAAATGGCAAGTTCTAAAAGAATTAAATTTTCGGTGGGAGAAATCAGACCGAAAATCACTTTTGATTGACCGAGAGGAGATACGAGGGTAAAACTAAACTAGGTCATACTCTAAAAAAATTTGGTCAGATAAAAATATATATTGAGCTCCAGGCAAGCCTTTATGGAAGATTAGTCCACTGGTATCTCCCCACCTTTTGGTAAAGGCAGCATATTAATAATTTCTTACATTGGCAATGAAAAAGGATTTGTTAAGCATGGTTTGTTGGAATTTCAGTCCAAAAGCACAAAAGACTATCACGAGGAGATGACAGCTGATGTTTTCGAAGAGTATTTTTAGCAGATGATTGAAAATATACCACCAAATTCAATTATAGTATTAGATAATGCACTTTATCATCCACGATTAGTAGAAAGACTTCCAACGACTGCGTGGAAGAAATAAGATATTCTTGACTGGCTGCGGAATAAGTATCTGCCTTTAGAAGATGGAATGGTAAAAGCAGAACTTTTAAAAATTGCCCGGCAACACAAATCCAAGTTCAAGAAACACGTAGTTGACAAAATGGCGGAAAGGCGAAACATCACAGTCCTTAGACTTTCACCCTACCACTGCGAAATACATCAAATTGAACTCATTAACTCAGTGGCTAGAAAAAATACGTCATATAAAATACAAGCTTTACGTGAATTATTATACGAGTCTTTACAACATATTACAGAACAAAACTGAAAAGATGCAGTAAGACATGTAATAGAAGAAGAACAAAAAATGTGGGATCTTGATAACATTATTGATGCAACCGTAGAGACACAACCGCTAATTATTAGCCCTCAAGACGACTTGGATTCCGAAATTGATCCTATTTATTTTGAATTTTAATAGTTTTCTAATCGTAATTATATAAGGTAAGTAATAGTAGTTGTAATCGTAAGGTATTTTTTAAGGCATTTTACAGGCAAAATGTCGCCTGTAAAAATGTTCAATGTGTTTTAAACGTATCCATTTTTTTTTAAATCCTGAGAAAACTAAAAAGCATTTTTGATAAATTTAAAGGCAGAATGAAATATTTGTTAGAATAAATACATAAATACCTGTTACATAGCATATTAATAAAACATTGTAGAAGTTTACAGGGAGTTTCTGCCCTCAGTAATAATGTAATCTTTCATTCTGCGTTTAAATTTTTTAAAATAATTTATTAGTTTTCTCCAGATTTGAAAATAATGGATATATTTAAAACACATTGAAAATGTTGCCAGGCGACATTTGGCGCCTTTCCCCTTAATTAAATAAATGACTCTAATTGCGACTTACTAAAACAGCAAAGTCAGCAGGTGTAATGATTATAAATAAAGTATTGTAAAACACCTATTTTTAGTCTGACATTAATGTGATAATAATCTGTTATATTTGTATTTGTACTTTGAATAATATATTTTGAGTTGTAACTAAAATCTTTGGTAGTATAAATAAAAGTTTATTTTGCGTGTTCGTGCTTTTTAAAAAAGTGTTTTTCAAAAGAACATTCATAATTGGCGCAGTCAGTAGGATAGTGGAAGAGTCTTTAAAGATCCTCCCCACTTTTAAGTGGTTGTCCACTATTCCAAGAACCAGCCGTAGTGAAACCATATGCAGAGAGTTTATCCGAGTTCATGCAAGAGACTGGAAATTAATAGTTCTGTTAGAAGTCTTCAAGACCAGAGGAATGCATATAAGCATCATATTAAGCATCAGCACTAATTTAAACAGAAAATTAAATAACTGCGAAGAGATACATTTAATAGAAAGAATAAATAATTTAAGATTATCACCTATAAATATAGATAATTTTGAAAATAATTTAAGGGTTTCACATATAAATATAGATAATTTTGAAAATATGGTATTTCCACAATTTGACGTAAAAAATTTGTGCATTCTTCCAAATTTTGACGGAAATCCAAATGTACTACATGAATTTCTTAAAGTTTCGACATTACTTTTAAACCATTATTATGATAGACTTAAAGCTAATATGCAGCTAATATATAAAAGCACTTTTTACTTCACTCTCACATCCTCGACAAATTGGGACGATGTCAGTATTTTACTACCCTCGAATCAACGAGCGGATTTCATCAAATTGAGATGGCCGAAGAAGACATTCCCAAAACAGCATTTAATGTGGAAAATGGACACTACGAATACGTAAGAATGCCATTTGAACTTAAAAATGCTTCGTCTACGTTCCAACGCATAATGGACTACTTATTAAAAGGACTCCAAGGAGAGATCTGTCTCGTCTACATGAACTACGTAGCGTATTCATTACATTAACACCACTGAAAGAACACATTGTAAATCGCACAAAAGTATTTTAATGACTAAAAGAAGCCTGATTAAAAATCCAAGTCGATAAATGTGAGTTCTTAAAAAAGAAAGTTAATTTCTAATCCAGCCAAAATAGAAGCGATCGAAAAATACCCAATTCCGAAAGCAACAAAGGAAATAAGAGGATTTCTTGGACTTCTGGGATATTACAGGAAGTTTATTCGAGATTTTGCAAAAATCACAAAACCTTTACCAAAATGGTTGAAAAAAAAATGCTAAAATCAAACATACACCCGAATTTGTATAATTCTTTTCAAGTGAAAATTTATGATTACACCAACTCCTACTAAACCACTAGCAATAGTTTACATCTATTTCTTCTTCAGCCTTCATTTATCCAATGTTGGACATAGGCCTCCTCCAATTGCTTCCACGCTTCCCTATCTTTTGCAATTCTCATCCACTGCTTTCAGCTACAGAAGTTATATCGTCTATCCATCTCTTTTTAGGTCTTCCCACGCTTCTTTTTGTTTCTCGAGGTCTCCAGAATGTCACTTTATGAGACCATCTGTTGGTGTCTTGTCTTGCTACATGTGCTACCCATTGCTATCTCAATGTCGCTATTTTTTCCATGATGTCGGTTACTTTAGTTCTTCGTACATCGATTTATTTCTGACCAATGGAGAGAAGTTTCTAACCATAATAATAGACGCATTTTCGAAGTATGGACAAGCCTACCCAATAGATGGAGGAAATGCCATCAATGTACTCAACGCTCTATTAATTTATGTAACACACCATGGACTCCCAACAATGATAGTAGCCAATGGTACAGAATTTAAAAATGGGGTAATACAAGAATTTATCGACTCACATAAAATCTCAATTCACTATACAACCCTGGAGAATCCGCAATCCAACGGGATAATTGAAACGCTTTATTCTACACTAATTCATCATCTTCGGATCCTAAAAAACACCAAAACAAAGTTATCGATAAAAGAACAAATACTATACGCTAGAATTGGGTATAATAATTGTATACATTCAGCAACTAAGTTAAGACCTATCGATATCCTAAACGAACACATTCACACAAAAGATCCATTTTGCGTTGATATAGAAAAAATAATACTACTAACTAATTATGTACAAAATCAAAGAGAAATAACTAAAAAACTATAAAAGAAAGTTAACCGGATTATACAAGAAAACAAAGAGAAAGTAATCGAAAACAGAAACAAATCGAGACAAGTCTCCATTACGTGTAAACCAAGCACAAAGATTTAAACCCGGAAAACAGTGACCAGAAACAAATTACTTCCGCAATATTCTGAAAAACATATAAAAAAAATAACGAAGTGACTGTTAATACATCAAAAGCTACAGTTCATAAGAAAAATATAAAACATCAACCTAAGTCAAAAACTAATTCTGAACAGTCCCCACAAAATTACCATGACGATCGGAAAGGAATTGAAGACCAATGACCTGAAAGACAACTCAAGAATAATTCTCCGCAATCTGGATCAAGCAAAGATTTACATTACTAATGCTCAACCAAGAAATAATAAGTAAGAAAAATAATATCAACAAGAATCTGAATAAAGTCATTTTTGACATTAACTAATGGTTTCAAGCAAGAAATATTCTGGACCAACTACAATTAACAGGGAAGAAGAGACAATTATTCCAAAATCGTGTAACCATAGACGTAACCATTTTTGGACAACTCCTGTATATATCTTTACTAAAATTATCTGGTTTATATATGTGACAGGTACAACATTCTAGCAACGAAACTCCAGAAGAAGCCAATGCAAAAGTTTTGTTCATCCCTCACATTACTTCTTCAGGGATGAAGTAGTTATAGTACAATGACCGATAGAATCCAGTATATTAAACCACGCGAATTCAATAAGAAGTTACCGCATATCAGCACCGAATATTCCTGAGCCTTGCAACACTAATTGTGACTTACTAAAACAGCAAATTCAGCAAGTGCACTGATTGATTATAAATAAAGCGTTGTAAAACCACCTTTTTTAGTCTGACATTAATGTGATAATAATCTGTTATATTTGTACTTGAAGTTTGAATAATATATTTTGAGTTGTAACTAAAATTTTTGCTAGTGTAAATAAAAGTTTATTTTGAGTTTTCGTGCGTTTTAAAAAAGTGTTTTTTAAAAGAACATTCATAATTCACGTTAAAATAAGTCTTGCTTTTTTATATTAACTGTTTTGTTATTTAAAATATACATATATTTTAGATGCATATATTTTATTTTAACTTTCAGTTTAGTAGTAATCATGTTATAATAAATAAACTCTATTAATATCAATTGTATGTATATAAATCTAACCTTATATTATAATTTGTAACTTCTGTTGTAGGAAGGAAAACTAAAAGTTTATAATTTAGGAAGGCAAATTCGCCAACGTTATTCGGGGTTTTTGGATGAAGAGTACAACAAAGATTTAATAAATGCACGAACTAGTGATTTTAGTAGAAGCAAGGAGTCATTACAAGCAATGCTGGCAGGATTATTTCCACCTACCAAGGATCTAACTTGGTTACCTGGATTTAACTGGCAGCCTATAGCATATGATTACATTAAAAGAGATTTAGACCAGGTAATAATAATTCTCTATTCTGCAGGTTTAAAGTAAATACAGGCATTTAAATTTTAACCTTAGTATTTGTCTGGAGCAAAGATATAATGCCTATGCTTCTTTTTATATAAAATTATTGAAAATATTACGGCACTACTAGTAATTAAAAAAAGCATTAAAATATATTTTAGCCGGTGAAAATGAAAGTGGAATAAGTCAATTTAGGGCATGTCATTGAGGAATACAGTGGTTTGTAAAACCGTTTAAAAAAATCAAATAAAACGGCTATATTAACTTATCCGATTTTCCTTTAAACATTTGTAAGGTAAATGGAAAACAAGAAAGAAAATGAAAAATAATCAGAAATTAGACATGGAAAAACTAAAACGAGAAGAGCAGACGTACGAAGAGAGAATAAAGGAAATATTGCTGATCAAGGAAAATGTAGAACACAAACATATCGATGAAATAAACATGATATTTACTGAAACTCTAATGAAAGTGTGTAAAGAATTAACACAGAAAACAAGAAAAAAAGAAAGTTTTATATCCCAGGAAACAAAGATTCTTATGAACACAAGAAGAACATTACTAGAACAAGGGGATAGAAATAAAATGGAATACGAAGAAATAAACAAAACTATTAGAAAAAATATAAAGCAGTGTAAACAGAGAGTACAGGAAGAAAAGATAGAGAAAACAATTGAAAAAAAAAATAGAAACATGAAGTGCTTAAAGCAGAACCTGGGAAACATACAAATTAATAGCATAAAGAACAAAGAAGGAATGGAGACCAACAATATAAAAGAAATTTTACAGGTAACGCACGAATATTATATCAAACTCTATAAAACAGAACAAAAACCAACCGAAGAAATTCGTAATCAGTTACAACTGAAAATAAAGAAAGTTAATTCTGACCTAACATAATAACTGCAAATACTTAAATCTAAGGGCTTACCCTATGGCTTACTCTTATTTTATCTATTAACTAATGCACTACAACTAGCATGCAATAACTTCACAGCACTATACTCTGCTTTTTACATTAAACTGTTACACATTTACACTAGCTCAAATGGTTTTGTCCTTATGAGTCTTCTCTTTAGTTCAGTGTTGTCAAGAAGCTGGATTGCCTCGACATTCACATGACTATGCAGCCTCTGCTTGTGACTTGCTGCTGTTCTCTTGATTATTTCGATCACAGTTTCCATACCCAGGTCCTGGTGGAGGTTGCTGTTACGGATATACCAAGGAGCATCAACAATGTTTCTCAGTACTTTATTTTGAAATCTCTGGATAATAAGTAGATTACTAGCTTTGGTACAGCCCCAGAGTTGGCACCTATATACCCATACTGGCATCAGTACTTGCTTGTAGATGGATAATTTATTATGAATTGGCAATGTTGAATTTTTTCCAATCAGCCAATACAATTTCTTATATCTAATATCAAGCTCCTCTCTTTTCCTTTTGACATGGACTTTCCAGCGCAGCTTCGCGTCTAGGGTGATGCCCAAGTATTTTGCTGATGTTGCATAAGGAATTCGGGTATCATTTATTCTAACTGGAAAATTTTCTATTTTTTTATTTGTAAAGTTAATGTGTGCAGATTTGATCTCATTTAATTTTATTCGCCATTTTCTGGTCCAGTTATGTATTTTATTTACTGATAGTTGCAATTTATCAGTCGCTTCTTCACTAGTGTCTCCTATCGCTAGTATGGCTGTATCATCCGCGAAGGTGGCAATAGTATTTTGTTCTAGCTCTTGAATGTCACACGTATACAATAGGTACAGGACCGGACCTAAGACACTTCCTTGTGGCACGCCAGCTTTAATCTCCCTTAAGTCGGTGTACACTTCTTCTTGTTTTACTCTGAAATATCTATTCGCAATGTATGATTTCAAGATTTCTGAATACTGCTTAGGCATGAACGTTCTTAGTTTATAGTTTAAACCGTCATGCCAGACTTTATCAAACGCCTGTGCTACATCCAAGAAGATTGTAGAGCAGACTTTATTTTCTTCTAATGTTTTTTCTATTATATTCGTTATTCTGTGAACTTGATCTATAGTGGAATGTTGATTTCTGAAACCAAATTGGTGATTTGGTATAAGATTTTTTCTTTCTATTATTGGTTTTAATCTTTTTAATAGAAGTTTTTCAAATAGTTTTGACATCACCGGAAGGAGAGATATTGGTCGATAGGATGTCACTTCATTAGGAGATTTACCTGGTTTGGCGATCATAATTACTTCGGCTACTTTCCAGAGTCTGGGAACATATCTCAATCTAAAAGCAGCATTTATTAGGTGTGTCAGCTTAATTATGGCTTTTCTTGGTAGATTTTTTAATAATTCTCCTGTTATGAGATCATATCCTGGAGCTTTCTTAGGATTTATGTTCTCTTTTATCTCTGTTGATACTTCTCTAAGTGATGTCAATGTTATTCTTTCATCAGTTTGGAATGGTTCTTCCCATCTCAATTCTTCACTATCATTGTTGTTGGGTTTGAACGTGCTTTCTAAATGATCTGCAAATCGTTCTGCTTTCTGTTCGTTACTTCTAGCCCAGTTGCAGTTTTCCAACTTGATAGGAGGGGAATGAATAATTGGTCTCTTCAATCTTTTTGTTGTCTTCCATAAAGAATAATCTGTGTTCTGGTCAGCTGTTAAATTACTTAAAAAATAATTAATTGTTGAATTTTTTATATTCTGTATCACCCTTTTTAGTTTTTGTGTAGCATTATTTAGACTAGTTTTGTCTCGTGGAGCTCTGTATTGCTGCCATTTTTTTCTTAACTTCATTTTTTCTACTATGAGTTCTCTGATTTCTTTTGGATAGTTGTTCCCTTTTGTTCTAGAAGTTATTGTGGGAGTATTTTCCCAAGCTGACTGTTGGATATTTTTTATAAAAACTTCTAATTCGTCATCAAGTTGCCTCGTGTTTCTTAATGGAACAGCAAGATTAATTTTGTGTTCAAGGTTTATTTTGAAGCTCTCCCAGTCAGTTTTTTTATTAGTCAATACTAGATTGAACTCTTTTTTAATCACTGTATCACTCATAATTAGAATTATCGGTGAGTGATCAGAGTTGATGTCCCAGCCGTCATTGATATCCAGATAGTTAGCTGAGATGTATTTGTATATAAAGAAATCTATCAGGTCTCGAATTTTGTTCCTATCGGTAGGCCAGTATGTTGGTCTACCAGTAGAGATTACTTCACCCTTTTGTTCCTTAACAGCTGACAATAGTTATTTCCCTTTAGTTGTAGTTAGCCTAGAGCCCCAGTGGGTATTTTTTGCATTAAAGTCGCCACCGATGATGTATCTTTTTCCTAAAGTGTTCATAAACTCTTTATATTGCTGTCTTTTAGTGGAGTGTCTAGGAGGACAATATATTGAACTTATATTTAAGGTATGTGTTTTCATCTTTACACAGACTGTTGTAGCTTGTATGTGCTCAGTTGCATATTTTAATTCCTCATGATGCATGATGTTATCTTTAATTATAATAGCGCTTCCTCCTTTAGCTGCATTATCTGGGTGTACAGTAGAATATACTCTATACCCCCTAAATTTAACATATGACTGTTTAGTGAAGTGTGTTTCAGAAACGAGACACAGATCAATTTCCTCAATATCTAGTACTGCTTGCAACTCGATCTGATGTTATAACAGTCCATTTGGGTTCCACGCCATTATTCGGAGGTCTTTAGTAGCCATTTCTGATTTTCGGAATAGCTCCTTTAGCGCTATGCTCTAGTCGGGTGACTTTGATATCGATTTGAGTTATTTTGTCATCAATCTTGGTGAGCTTTTCCAATATCATTTTTAATGTAATATCAGTTTCTGTTTCTTGTTGCGATAATGCATGTCTCCTTGCATTCTTTGTTACATTGCTGTAACTTCTATTTTCACTGACCTCTGCCGTTTTTAGTTTTTTGCTTTCAATAACTCTATGGGGTGCTTTTATAACATTGTTTTTGTTTGTTCTCTCGTTTCTTATTGTTTGTAATTTTTTAGCTACATAACATCCGCGGTAGTTTGCAGGATGGTTTTCTCCACAATGAACACATTTTGGTTTATCTTCTGGTGGTTTTTGGCAATCTTTAGTAAGGTGTTTACCAATACATTTTACACGTCTTGGCTCTTTTTTACAGTATTTCCACGTGTGTCCGTAAGCCTGGCATCTTTTACATTGTGGGACTAATCTGGAATTCCTTAATGGCTCGATTTCAACTCTCGTACTAAGTATGTCTGTTAAGTGTCTAAGTAATTCTATTTATATCTTCATCTTGTCTAAATGTTAGGATGAACACATCTAGTGGTTTTTTAGTTTTCCATTTGAATTTCTTGTCAGCTATAATGGCTTTATATTGTCGTTTTTGTAGGTCTTTTACTATTTCCTCTGGTGGCCATGTGTGATGTAATTTCTTAACAACAACTCTAATTGGTCTCTCTTGCTTATTTTCATAAGTGTGGTATGAAAGGTTACTCGTATTTAATGTGTCTATTAAAGCTCTGTAATGATCGCTATTGGCTGTATTAATTTTTATAACTTCACTGTTTATGATTTTCATAGTGAAGGTAATACCAGCCTCAGTTAGAAGCTTGCTCAGGTCAACAGCACTTTGAAAACCTTCCGACTCACACCATGCATTATAAAGCGACTGCTCATTTTGTGAACGTTGTGTATTTTCTGCGAACATCGCAGTATTTTGTTGGACTAGTAGTGCGTCCATTTCGGTATGAATAGGAAACATTATAAATATTTAAATATTTCGCTTACCTAAGTTAACTTGAATTTATCGCGATAGCTTACAGCCATGGCCATTGATATCACTCACGACTAATGATATTTTAATTACTACTTAATTACCACTGATTAGATAGCGGAGCTCTGAATACGTCTATATACTTGGACGGTCAAAGCCAGAATCCTCAAAGAAATGACATAACAAATCTCCTGGGAAAGATGGAATAACTGTGGAAATGCTAAAAAAATGGAGGGAAAAC